ATATAATATGGTTGATGACTTTAACGTGGTAAACTCAAAAGCGGTATTTCGGGTTCAATAGAGGAACTCAGAGATAATATTATATATTTTCGAGAATTTTCGATTCTACATGGTATACCGCTCTGTTCTCTACTATCATAAAAACATAGTCTAACCAAGTTATTCTTACAATAAAAATATATCCGCCAACATGTATATAATAATTTGGAAGACGGAAGTAAGTGAATAAACAAAATAACAATGAAGTTGACAATTATGTACTTGTTTAGCTGTTGATGCTTGCTTTCGATGCTTGCTTTCCGATGAACTTATTAGACTCACCTTTACCGATGACTGACATCGGGTATATCATGAACGACTGCCAATGCTTCAATTAGATTTTAAGTCATAAATCTCCGGTAACTGATGGTATATTGGTTATTATTTTTCAGTGGCGGCTTTAGACTTACAGTATAGATACGTACAGTATTTGAAACAAATTAATGTTATTTGAAAGAAAAATAACACTAATTTGTTTTAAGCGTATTACACGGGTAAAACCGCGGGAATAGCTAGTACGATCTAGTAGATCGCGCAATATATGGTAGTCACTGATAAAATAATATGCATAATAATTGCTTTCACTAAGTAACGCTTTATTATTTCAAATTATCACAGACAGTCATGAAAGGCTTATCTTGTTTTTCTGGATCGAAGGACCAAAAATAAAAGAATATCGTTTGTGTCAATTAACAATTTACACGATAATTACGAAATTTACCGTCGTGATAACTGTTCATTGGCAGTTCATTTTGGTATAGTTAAGTTATTTAAGAAAATATGAAGCACGGTCAAGCGTGAGTTAGATTTGGGTAGCAAAGGGTCCGTCTCATGAATGATTTTTTACCTTTAACTTTAAAATAAAACTACTTACATACTTAATTTGTGAATGTTTTAGGGCCTATTTATTATCACTATCATTTGTTTGTAAATACATTATTTAACATAACAGCAAGATAAATACATAATTTATAAATGTTACCACTGTCTATTGTGGTTCTTAAAATACAAGCTACATATTTGTAGTTTCAAATTGGTAGATACATATTTTTAACATGCCTTACGCATACTAAAAACACAGTTTCACTTGTTTTTATAGTTCTGTTTCGTAATACCAGAAGTATCTGCGCGTACAACCTTTAAAGTGAGCTAAAATGACTAACAGTTAAATTATTCGCATGTTATTTACAATATGTAGGTATTCTTTACCCAAGTTGCATGTTCTAAGACGCTTCGTCATTTCCGATTGCTTACAAAACCAGGCATAGCGTGTTATATGAAGAAAACATACGATAGGTATGATACTTGTAATACGAACATACCTTTACAATAGCGAATACTCTGGTCATGTGCAATTTTAATAGTATTCCTTATTCCTCCTTAAGAGGAATGGCGTATGGGCGGAATTATGTGTTTATTTTAATTATAGTGTTGGCTAGTGGCTTATCAATCCTGTGGTTCTGGACCATACCAGGATCTTTCGTTCCTGCACGGCATGGCATGCATTTTTTCAATTTACAAGCCAATTTGCAATGTGTTTGGTATAATACTAAATCCTAATCTATCCCAGAGAAATAGCTAGGGCACAAAATCTTTTTAACTATGGGTCTTCTTACTCTCTCTTCAGGCCAGGCTATGTAAATAAACAGAATATGTTTAAGTAAGCAGAATGCTTTCGAGTTAATAATTCTTCAAGTTATAAATTTTTGTAGTTGTTTGTGTATCTCTTTTCTTATGCGTGGATGATCCTTTGTTTATTGAATAAATGTACTAATAAATATGTAAGTATGTGAATTCGCCGTCATATTCTATTTGGTACAATAATTACAGTATAGTTACGGAATACCTGGAATTCACGGTCGTTTAGTCTGTTCACAATTAACGTCAATTTCGCGGTTTTACCAGCGATTAAAAATCATATACTTTTATGTAAACAATTTGTTTATTTCCAATAACAAAGTGTAAACATTGTAATTACGTAACCTTTTTAAATTAAAATCATGCCTTAATTTAATACTAACATTCGAAAACTTTCTATTTAATAATAAAAAAACATACAAATTATCATGGTCAGAGCTTGTATTTACCTTTATTGTGTACATATTCGTGTGGATTATTTACATAGGATTGTTTAGTGTGAGTAAGACATTTTCTGTAAAAAAATGTCTTAGTCTGTTATCTTTCAGTCAGATTATACTTCTAACAACAAGGGGTAAATAAGCCAAGGTTATTTTTAAACTCGTCATTATATAAAACACGAGAATCTCACCGTACGTACTTCACTTAACAACGAAACGTAATTTCATTGAAACGTCAAATAATCAAAATGGCTGCCAATGAGCTGAGGTTCCCGCCATTGTCGGTGACATTTGACCGAAGCATGCGCAATGGGTGTCGCGACCTGACTTTACATACAATATACAGTTGTGGTAACGCTAACTTAAATTTAGCTTTTCGCCGAATCGTTTCAAATTATTGCGGAACTAGCAATGTCACGTAAACTGATCGCAAAATAATAAGCTTGTCATGTCCAAGACGGTTTTGCAATGTTTTGTTAAAACCGAAAATATAGTTTAAAACCTCGGTTTTTATATTATGTTTTTATTCATAATTAAAAGCATTTGTAACAGACTCATTATTATTTTATGGTATACCTCGTACATTTTGAAGAAGCATTTATTCTGCTTCAATTATGTTGCCCAAAAGGGCTTTTACAATTAATACTTATTTCGTAAAATAATTACTTAACCCTGTAAATAAATAGTCTATTGACACAAATCAGAAAGAATTACTGACCGGCAAATCAGACAAAGCAGTGAATTGAAGTTAATTGCTCAAATAATTGAAACAATTTTGTTTAGTCCATTGCGCGCCGTCATAGTACGGTCAGCCATGTTTGTTTACGGTTCTGAAAGATCTGATTGGTTGTCAGAGCGCATGCGCTCCAGCTCTAATTCCATTCGTCGGGCTAAAATTGAAATTGGAACCACATGTGGACTTTCACTATTTACAATCAGATTACGGGTTATGTAATCGTTTGCCTCTCATTATTGTTTCGTTATTTACAATGACAAAAATAAAAATTATCGGATGATTCATGGCCATTATCGGAGACAATATCTTTATAATTATTGTTATTATTGACATTTAATATCTTTAACGAAAGCGTCATATCGGACTTTTAGGTCAAATTTGTTACTATATTATTATTTACTAGCTGTGCCAGCGACTTCTTCCGCGTAGAATAGTTATTGCGGTTGTCAAAATTTGGATTTGCAAACCTCATATTTGTAAATTATAGCTGTTACCCACGACGTCTATCGCGTCCCGTCGTTCTTTCGAGTTAATCTTAAAAGATAGACATAATATACTGTCGCGAACATTTAAAGAAAAATCATTCTTTTATACATATTTTTGGGTATCTTGAACCATATTCACAGCGTACGAAACGGAAACGAACAATGGTGCATTACAGTGCGATGTTTTGTAGCCTATAACCTAATCAACACAAATTAAATATATTAATTAAAAAAATAATCATATCAAACCAGTAGTACCTGAGATTAGCGCGTTCAAACAAACAAACATGTCAGGTTTATATATGATTTTTTATTTACTTAGGAAACTAAACAGCCCTGTCTCTTATGATAACTTAAGGCTAATATTCTTATTATCTAGGGATTTTTTTTTAAATAGAAATCTAGATGTATGTAGGCATGTATTCTGAGACACTTTACAAGTTTCACTGAGAACATTTGATATAAAATTAAAAAAAAAAGTTTTGAGGCGAGAAACAGTGTCCCCAACAATATTACGAAAACCGTATTCTTTGATAATTAGATATGTGTGATATTTTGTAAGTTATGAACTTCTTTATATTGGTATAGATAATAGAGTTATTTCAATTGTCTTTCCATTTATACTTTATTCCAAAGTTTAAAACTAAGAACTGGTGGAGTGGGGTGTCTCTCGTATTTATTCAAACTTTTGTATTTATCTCGGCAGGAATGTTATAATTTACGCGGCATCGAATATATGATCATTAAAATTCAATCGTTTCTTGTTAATGAGAAGTGCAATCGCTAATTATAAAACCAAGAATGTTTGCAATCATGCTCGTCAGATATTATTCACACTTCATTCTTAAATAGGCCACTCGCAGATACGATATTTCTTTGTTAATAAATGTATAATTAATAAAACCTTTATGCTGGAGGAATATAATCAAAAGGTCACTTCGTGGATTGCTACAGACATATAACATATACTAAACATGTGTTGTCGACCTATTTTGACTTGGACATTTGAATATCCACAAAATAAAATGGAAATATATACTTGACGGCCTTTTCAATATTATGTGAACAAATGGCATTCTTCAGTTCAAGATTTGTATCTATTTATCATATAAGTATTTCTAGTCCATGTTAAGTTAACTTTTAGATTGCAGACAATATAATATGTAATTGTAAATTAAAACCAATTATACACTAAAATTATATAATAAAAAACCTTTAAAAATGGTAGGTAAGTTTTATCATTACTTTGCAACAGGATATCCATGCCAAAATGTTATTCCACTTACATATCAATTTAAATTAAAATGTACCTACTAAATAATATTTCAAAAGTACCTTTAATTTTGACGTTCGTCCGTCAACTGTCAAGTAGCTTTGTAAAAGCTTTATCAAGATAAGATAGCCTTGATTTTTTTAAATACTGCTTTATTTTTTCACTTTTTTACCGTCTCACGCGCATTGAAAGACGTAGACAAATTTCAGAATGTTAGATATGAATGCACCTACTTATCGAAAGTTTTTACAGTGTTGTCTTTTGGTTTAATTGGAGTTTTACATACAACAGCTTTCGACCCACTTATAGTGCGTTCCTATACATATTTCGTCGTACCAAATTTTACATGTGGGTTCGTAAGATTGAAATGTCTGTTTACTTTGTTGCAGATTATCGGCGAGAGGGAATATGCTGTTCGACCGACGAGACGACCTTCGGAAGAGCTGCAGACTGGACAGCCATTAGAAAATATAATATTACAGGTAACACCATTATATAAATAAATGTGTAATCAATCGTGGAGTGGATATATTGCACACTACTTTTTTGTAATATTACAATCCGTGTCTCTCATAGTTGTCAATCTTTTTGGTTAAAGGTGGATCGTAATAGATGTAATGATTTGTTTCAAGAAAACAAGAATAAAAATGGCCTAGTACGGTGGATTTATACTTAAATTTAAGAAAGAAATACGCTTCAGTATTGTTACTTCTGGTCCCGTATTTCTCGTTGTCCGTACGTCCGGGGTTTTTTAAACCCAATGTGCATTTGCAACGCTTATAAAGCAATTACCAATAAGGACCTTAAACCTTGCCCCACGACTGAGACAATTATTAGCGTAATGACGCCTGATTGTGGTCATTAGATGGCAACTTTAGCCTTAGAACTATATCTGCATAATTATACAAGTAGACTCACCTTAAATAGTCTAATTCTGGTTCTACACTGGGTTATTTTGTGGCTTTTAACCGGTAATTAATATTTCATCATGTCCACAGACTAAAGTATTATAATTGCCATCATTAAGACTCGCAAACGCTGCTTTGACGATTCGAATTTTCCGTCATCGTCGTCTTCTTCTTCTTCTTATTTGATGGCTTTCTCATTATGAATGAATTCTGCCAATGTCGTGTGTCGAATGTATATACATTCAAATTCACTCTCAATCTGTTATTGTTGGAAATGGTCAAATTGTGACGAGTTGAAAATTATAATATTTTTCATATGTGCATAATATAAATTAAAATGAATTTAGATTGAAAAATTACGACACCGGCAGGGTTTGAACCGGCGTCCACTGCGTAGCGTGCAATTGATTTGTATGGGACACGAAAGGTTAATCAAGTAGGTAGCAGCACGGAACGCCGTGGATGGCGTTGGCGTTACAAGTCCCGAACCTGTCGTTATTTGTTTGACGTTACGTGACTTTAATTTAGTGATGTGTTGTGAACTTAACCTTCTTATCGTTAACCCTTAGTTCTTCTGGTATCTCCACACGCCATAATATACAATAGCTTTCTACCTTATTTTCGTATACATTATTGGCTTAATTCTGTGCACTGTAAATTGTAACTATTGTAATATGTACGAAACAGCCTGCCATTAACAGAAAAAAATGTTATTGTCAATTAGACCTCACTCAAAATACGAAATACATTTTTTTGTAACGATTAGTCCAATATCACTTAACTAAATGATAATAACATGCGAATTGTAATTTAATGAATACGTGGACGTAGGTACAGTTAAAAAATCCTGTTTCCGTTTTCGGTTTAAATAATAATGAGGGAGAAACGTGAAATGGAGCATTGCACTTTATAAACTGGATTCGAGGAGGTTAAGATTATTAAAATGCTGTGGCCTGCATATTCTTTGGTATAAAATTTATCTTGTGGCATGTTTGATTAAGACGATATTTTACCTACAATATAACCAAGTATAATGCTGTTTTTTTCATAATTATTAATTTTATATGTGATCGGTGACTGTTTTTTTCCCGCCATTGACGTACGACAATTGACAGGGACTGTTTTATATATTACAAATAAATATTATTGTTGTTTCAATGGTTTTATTTTTAATGTAATCTGTGACGGTTTTTTTCTTTCCCGCCCTTAACGAATGACAATTGACAGTGGCTATTTTACAGATTACAAATAAATAAATAAATTAACTAAATAGACGTATGCATTAAATGTTTAAATCGGCGCTTATTAGTATTATTGTTAACATAACGTGTTATTTCATTACAAATATTGGTTGCACAACACTGACCGATAACACCTGAATGAAAGATAAGATTTTATCACTTATCTATGCGATGTTTATATTTAACAGGTTGTCTATGATTCGGTAACAAAGATTTATTACTATATTTATTGCAGTAAATAATTCCTTCGTAGGAATTTATTTCGCAATAGCTAGAATATAGATTTTTAATTGAGTTAATGGCTATGTATTACGGCTATAATAACTTGAGATTTCGTTAAGGCACATGTTATTTGGTATGAGCAAAAAGATCTTTATATATTTTGTTTGTTCAATATTCCTTTAACGAAAACGAAAGGTCACTTCATTGCCCGTTACGTCAAAAGATCTAGCTTATTATACACGGCCCATTAAATTCAGATATTACGCTGTGATAAGTCCCATCACATGCTGCTTAGAGACGTAATTTAAATTAAATTAAGTAGCAATTCATAGGAAGGCCGTAATAGATACCTGAATTCATGTATACTCACAAAATTAAATTATCTTTTTTCTTATGAGATCTGCCGGCTAGGTTCACATCATTATGTAAGAATAAGAATAATGTTTAAGAATACTCCACAGCTTATAATATGAATTTCGAAACGGAGCGACAGTCTATGTCGATCATTGGCGTTTTGAGGTTTTTAGAAAATGGCGTAAGTAAATTGTCAATAAAGAAAAAGCGGGAAAAAGGTTATTTAGTGAGAAATTATACTCGTGAAACAAATTATGTATTTAATCACAACAATAGCTATTCATAAAGGTTTCTTACTACGTGAATATATTTAGCGTCCGTTTTGATCCGTTAAAATTATTTTATTAAACTGTGTTCTCGTAAACTACAGCCATTGCGTAGCGACGAATCTATTTTAGTTTAGGTTGGTAAACATTACCCTGGCACCAAATATGGACCTCTAAATTACTTAATCATAGAAGTAGGTATTTTTTATTTTTAAGCCGTGTTGTATTATGTTGGTAAATAAAAATGTATTTACATACTTAAAATTCAACCAAAGAATATAAAAATAAATGCGGCTTATCGGGATTTTATTTTTATTTTTTTACACAAATTTACAAGAACTTAAGCTCTTTAAGATATTATGTAAGATGTGATCAATTAATGCCAATCGTATGTTTTAATACAATTTAATCGTATTTTTACTTTTTCCTAAGACCTCAGCAAAATTTTTTAGGTTAATTATTATATACTGACGTACGTAGTTTTAAAAGATTATTAATGTTAAAAATGGATTTTATGGTGTATTAGGTATTTAATGGATTGATGAAGAGAATATTTTTTTTATTACAAAACACACGATCATAGCAGTAACGATACAAATCTGTTGTCTAATGTCAATTATTATTGTCTATCTATTACATTTCCCAATAACATAAATAATTATCCTGAAATTTAACAAAATAATATTTCAATTAAATATTATTTTATTTAAATAAAACACTTTTAACGTCTTTAACGTGAAATATATTAAACAAACAAACGTCGTGCCGTATTTAAGTTAAATATGTTATTTCGCATTTCATACCGTTAAAAGTGTTTTATTTAATTCGTATATATTTCTTAAATATTGTCTATAGTTTACGCGAGTAGAACACATTTAAATAAAACACTTAACGGTATTTAAAACGCGATATATTCGTTAAAACTATTTTTAATTTCGACCCGACGTTTCGGATACTTTGCAGCAGCCGTGGTCGCGGGTCACAGTCCTCCCGTGACCACGGCTGCTGCGTTTTAAACCGTTAAAGTGTTTTATTTAGATATATGTCTTGTCAACTTTCAGGACAATTAATTGAATTATCAAAGTCTTGTCTATATTATGAAATACAAATATATAAATTACAAAAAATATTCCGAATACAAACGGCTAGTAGTAGGCACGGTGTTTTGGCTTAAACGAAGGTTTTTATATCTTGATTTTATACATTTAAAAGAAAACTTTTATGTTGTTAAACAATGGACAGGCAGATAGATAAGCATATAAAATCTTAATTGGTTGGAACTTCAAAAAACTATTTTTTATGATATCGTTACTCTATGATTGTATGAATAAACTTAAAAGTGATATAGTACCGCCCAGTACATTTTGTATGATTTAAACGAAGCCACTTATAACCGATTCAAACTAGTATTACGTAATTAATATTCACACAAAAAAGACATTATACTAAATGCTTGCATAAATTACGGACAACTCAATTGTTTTTGTGCATTTCAACGCCACTCAGGTATCTATTATATTTACTAAATTCTTCTAAAACAAATCTTATCACTCAATTCTTTGCTTAAAATCTTTCTAATCTACGAGTATCTGTATATTAAAACAAATTTCAAAAAACGCCATTTTCATAAAAAATATATTTGAATTAAGTAAGTACATTATTTTTTAATTAAATTAAATTAAACTATTTGTAAATATTTAAAATCTATTAACTTTTAGATTTTATGGCTCTTCAAACTGCTTTAGCAACACACGACAACAACTCTTCGTCCTAAGATCGTGAATAGCCTTAGATAAAAATACTAGCTGATATAAAATTTTAAATAACTTCAGCTTAACGTTAATAACGAAATTGGTAACAGAAATAAATATTTCTTTGCAGAAATACGTATTTCTATTTAGTTAAATGTAAGTAGTAAAATAAATAAATATTTTTATAATATAACTTTAAAGTCGGTGCCAGGGACCACCCTAAATACAAAAAATCTAATCTACTCAACCAAAATCAGGTAGGTACGGTGTGATAAAAATCAATAGCAACAATGTTAAATAGTTTCACCAGTGATACACCCCATCCCTATTGTTAACTGTCAAAATTATTATCATCCTATATTTTACATAATAGCACATATAATAAACAGAAATCGGTTGAGTAGGGTCAATGTAAACAGATGATCTGTTTCCATATTCAGCGATTGTTATCGCTTCCTGTTATTTTTTATCTATAAATAATGTAAAGCCTATTATTGTAAATAATGTTTAATATTTCTTAGATCGCAGTTATTTCTAAAGATATTCTTTTCGCGTTCTATTTTAAATTATTTTTTTTACAAACTCTAAAACCTACCATTGCGTACTAAAATATTTATGTTTTTTTGTAAAAATATATTAGTTTGTTCTGTGGTTACGGTGTTAAATACTTATTATCTGTATTTAAAATTACATAAACTGACTTTACATTCTATCCATATACTTACCTATAATAAAAAGTGAAGCTAGTTTATGTTTGAAAAGATTTAATTAAACTTTATTATTTTCCATATATTATTTGGACATGTCAGTATTATATATAAGTATAATTTCAATAGATTTTTTTACTAGCTTAAGTTAAATACGCGATATATTAGTTATATTTTATTTGGAAATGATTTTTAACTTCGGCCCGACGTTTCGGATGCTTTGCAGCAGCCGTGGTCACGGGAAGACATAATTAAAAATCATTTCCAAATAAGTTTAACTAATATATCGCGTTTTAAACCGTTAAAGTGTTTTATTTAACTAACTTAAGTTATTTTATTTGGGAAACCTTCTATATTGATGACAAAGGGTTTTATCTCAGATTTTCCCCTAAAAAAAAAAGAACATCGTCATCCCAAAATTAAAAATGCGGTATGTTTATTTATTTATTCAACAAAACTTCTGCCTTAACAGGTCAAACCTAAAACGAAAAAAGACAAATACATTGAAATATTAATAATTACATATTATATACAAAGCTACTTTTATGAATTCACCCAGAGAGCAGTGAAATATGTCTGTAGCACCCCGATTTGTAGCTTTGAGAATCCGAAGGGCACGCGTCAACGTCGCCTCGGCTAACAAGTTAGTGCGCGCCCGATGAACCACCAGCAACTGCCGACGCTTTCTGCGCCTAATATATTCATTTGGCACATAATATAATGTTAGACGTCCCAAAATAGGGGCGTTATGTACCTTTTCTCCCAGAATTTGGAGTAAGTACGTCACTAAAGCCAGGTCCATAATCCGGTATCAAATATCATTAGCATATTACGGGATTGTATTGACGGGATGGTAAAAGTCGCAAAGATTTTAGACCCAATTAAGGGAATGTAAAAAAATCAACATGAATGCGAAAATTTAATAGATGTACTTTTTAAAAACTGTCAATAGTTTGATGTTTGTTTATAATATAGTTATTTATTATGTCAAAGATTGCAGACAATATAAAAATTCGCCCCATTAATTTTAATTATGAGCAATTAATTGCGCCACTGTAATTAATAGAGGTGGAAAATTTGGAACCGGTAACACTAATGAAATTTAATACGTTATATGTAATTTAGTCGCATATATTTTTAATTTTCTCACTTTCTTAAGACGTATTACTCGATAGTAAATATTGCATTGTTATGTTAGACAAAGGCAGACATATGGGCGTTGAGAATTTAAGTTTTATACTATTTTGGATTCGTTTTTTCTAACTACCTTGGCGGGCAAGGATATCTTACCCCAAGTCCGAGTCGGATCATGCTAGTTGAGTTCCAGGCCATTGCAAAATTATTTTCATATTACAATGTTTTTATTAATGGTCTCAGCATCGGTATGGGACAAAGTTAGGCAAAACTATGTTTTTTTTTCTATATAATATTAATTTTATTTTGTCTATACTTGATGTTATAGTGGTAACAAAAATACACAATTCAAATTAGAATTTTCTACATGCTATGAGCTCTGGTTGATTAATATTTAAAAGTAACCAAATTTCCTTTGTATTCACCGTGGAACAAGACTGGAAGAAGTGCAATCTCCTTTGCTAATTGGCAAACGAAAGATCGAGAAGAAAAATACTCATATAGAATGTTGATTCGAAAAGGTTTTTCGCTGTTGCCCCACAAGCACAACAACTCGAATGTCATCACTATGTATGATCCCGTTTACGTCAACACTTGCGTTAGCCGCGGACAAATAAGCGTCAAGTCCATCTTCAAGTTAGCTTTGCGTCACCGCTCGTATTATTTGCCAAACACGGCTGTAAGATTCAGGACAGCGAAATTTAATTTGATCTATACAAATAGCATGGGGCGAACACACCGACGGCCAGTAGTTGATCGAACTTCTAGGCCCTGTCAGAAACAATGTTTTCCTGGGTTCGACACCAGGACCTCTACTTTGTGCTGCGCTAGGAAACGCGTGTAACTATCGAGGTGAGGTAGACGATAGGAATAGATTAAATAGTATAAGTTACCACAGTACTTATACATATTATGAAAACATGTAGGTCGAACGAAGCTTAACAGTGCAAAAAGTATTATATATAATTCACCCAAATTTCCATATAAATAATTTTACTAAAATGTTATTAAAAAATGGGTAGAAGGGTGAAAATTGAGGATTGTATGTATTTTTATATGTTGTATCATAAAAAATAGAAATAAAAATTTTTTCAAAAATTAAAAAAAAAATGGTAACCACCCTTTCTGGGGGATGAAAAATGATGTTGTCCTATTCTCAGACCTTTGAATACACATATCAAATTTGGTGAAAATCGGGAGCCGTCGGAGGAGTTCAAGTTCGAACACCGTGACCGAGAATTTTATATATTAGATTATATTGCAAATATCCATTATTAAGCGCGAGAGGAAACAATAGATTGTTTTAGTCGGGACCTTAATTCTAATGAACAACAGAACAACTCACAGAAATGTGTTCTACCCATACCCCACGGGGGAAGCGGAATTTCACTTTTTATATTGCAAATATAAAAGAGAAACGAGTTAAGTCTGTGCATAGGACACAAATAGAAAATAAATAAAAATTTACAACACGGGCAGAACTTGAACTGAGAATCCACAGCGTACCGTGCTGTTACTCTAACCAATTGAGCTACGGAATCCTACACGTTATCGTCGATTTTTTTAGATAGTTGCGCAATGCAATTTAAATTTTAACTCTGTAATTAAAAAAAAGCCTATATCATGCCATCATGTGCAAAATATAGAATCTTTAAAGAAGACAGCGGCGTAAAAATCGCAGATACCTTTAAAGGTTCTTCAAAGATCTGTATATGTACTTAGTTATTTTTATTTGACCTTCTGACATTGACCTTTCAGACAATGCCTGCACCCGGAGGCGTGCAGCAAGGACCTAACCCTACCCACATACTACGCCCGCTTCCACGATCTGCGCAAAGAGTACGTACGTGCGTACACGCTACGGGCAGTGACGCCGTGCGCGCAGCAACCGTTGCCGCCCCCGGACCACCCCAACTCCTTGCAGGATATGCTAAATTGTATCCTTTCTATAAAAAAAGAAATCACTTGTATTTTATGACAGAGGATAGACGTACCAGACCGTAACTCGATGGAAGTTGCAATGTACAGTGAAGTATTTCAAAATGGTCCTATTATTCACTTTCTTTTTTTGTTAGACATGTCGGACTTCTTTAAGATTGAGCAGGGATTTTTGAAACTCAATTCTGATCTATGTTCCCCTGTTTTTAAAAAATTAATGACTTATCTCGTTATGAAAAACTACATTTTATCTATTTGCTTCATATTGTATTGAATCCGAAGTGTATATTTGTGTCGCGTACTACGCGGACATTATCTAACGCGACCTTTATTAAGGCATAATTGAATAGCAACCTATAGTTAGAGACGATTTATGGACCTAAATTATGTAACTAATCTTCAAAGTGATTAAAAATTTCTGAAGCCTGTAATCGGATTTATAATAGGGTTGTCAAAAAACAAAATACTACTTCTATTGAAATACACGATCTCCGTTTTTATGGCATGATGGTTTAACGCATGGCTTTACATCCTGTTAAGTATTAACTAAGGCCCAAAAAACTTTTACTACAACCGAACAGTTTGACAGTCAGGGTAGATTTCCCAATGGCAGTGAAAGAATTTTACATTTTATTTTTTGTCTTTCGTACAAAGTCATTACATACATTAAAATACTAGAATTCGAACTCCTACGATCTGAAAACAGAAATAATAACTTATAACTGCCCCTCTCGCGTTTCCTCATGTTTGTGACAGCCCTAAGCGCAGTGTCGCAATAAATCATGAACATGGAAGTCATAATTCGACCTCGTGCCTTAATAACCCAACGAGAAAAAATCCCGAACGCAAGAAAAGCTAATTAATATTCATACGAAAATTACGAAATATTTCTAAGTCGATTATATTAGGAATATAAGCGAGGACGAGTCTTAATACTATTTACATATGATAAATTATTAATTGCCATGAAAAAAGTAGTTTCGTTCAATGTGTGACGTCAAAGAGTTAATGGTTATTCATATTTTTAAAGAACTTTCGAATCGTGATTTGTATACTAATAAATCGAATCGATTAGTATGTAATTAGTCTTTTTAAACCCAACTTTATATATGTGTATAAAATTGGGTATTAACATGAATATCGTAAATCATTCGTGAAAGTAAATAACATGGTATGTATCTCTAGACTATCAGTAGTGGTAGTAACTTTTTCTTCAAACGTATAAAAAACAGTTACTGTGTCCTTGGTGTTGCATTAATAAAAATATTTTTAAAATATACAAATATATAGTTTTTTTAGTTATAGATACGCACATTGACTGACATCGTGAAATTTTCCTTTTTCTGATAAATAATGTTACTAAAGCTGGAGATTTTATATTTGGATGCCGGTTCAAGTCCTTCCTTGTCGTAATTTTTATTAAATTCTTAAACGATTTTTAATTTAAACAGTTAACACCCTAATAATGAAGTTCCTAGGAATAAGGTCTTGTATGTAATTTGTTGTTGTACCGCGAAGTAACATTTCAAAAATATGCTCAAAGATCAGAATTACTTAATTAATACCTAGATGAAAATCTTATATCCATGACAATAATTTTCAATGATATGAAGGTAAAGTTTTCCAAAGTTTCTCAAACCTCACTGTAGTCTACCTAATAATTGTAATGCGCCAAAAATATGTATCTTAGTGTAGCAAAACCTTTAAAGTCTTTAAAAATACAATTTTTATACATAATATATCGATACATAATAACGGCTCTGTTACTTCTATTTTAAGTTAAGTACTTAATGAGAATTAAAAAAAAAACAAAGAATCCTTTTTTCGAAAATAATTTTATTGTATGACAGAGGATAGACTATGGAGTTAAGGTAACGTAAGATTGTCAAAAGTTATTAAGTAAAGCTCAAATATAATATTAAATACCAAAGTACAGTTTGGGAAACTGTTTAAAATTCCAAAATATTTACCCAAGACCAAGTAAATGACAATCGAGATAATTTCCGTGGGAAATTCGGTTAACAAAGGGCACATAACGTATTTCTTATTTAATCACATCACAAGTATGGGATAAATATTTTTCGTTGGTATCGCTTTGTTTGCGAGGTTTAATTAAGCCGTGTTTATATTGACTTCTGAACGGAAGCTCGTTTCTCATGTTTACTGGCCTTGTGAGGTCATTTTTTATGTTATGTCTAACCGCTAACGTTAGCATTTTAATTAAAAAAAACCATACAAACTTTACATTATCGTAGGTTTACTGGTATAACAAGGTAAAGATAAGGGAGGACTTTATAAAACAGGGTTTACAAAAAGTATCTTTCTTGTTTTACAAATAATTTATACTAGCTCTGCCAGCGAATTCTTCCGCGTAGAATAGCTATTCTCCTCCTCATCTTCATAAATTATAGCTGTTGTCTTACCTACCCTCAATGATGAATTTCCCCCTCTTTTCCACATTTCCCACTGTTTCTTCGTTCCTATTGATGGAAGCGTGACGTTTTATAGTCTTTAGGCCTGTTTAGATAGATGCTCTAATCAACACAAAAGGAACCAGTATTTCCTGAGATTAGCGTGTAACAAACAAACTCTTCAGCTTTTTAATATTAGGAAAAATAATAAACTGATTTTTAGTATTATTTGTAGCCCCGCCACTAGCCATAAATTAAATGTATTTAGATATATTTTCACATATAAATAATGTACAAATTGAACAGATAATGTTTCTTAGCACGAACTAGATTTAGGTATAGCGCCCTATACAGGCGAAAATTTCTACGCGGCTGAAGTAAAAGACATGGCTGCTATTATACAAAGGATAATAACTGATGGTAAGTCAGTCTTCTTTTAGACTAAATATTTTTTTACTTTAATCTTTAAAAACTTTTGGAACTGGTATCTTGGTTCCTATAAACTCTATCTTATCATTATTAATTGCTATTTTCTCCTTTATAACGTCATACGAACGTTAAATAAAAATTAACGTAAATAACCTTAAAATTGCATTTCTTGTTAAAATAAGGATGTGCGATTTGCGATAAGCAATTACATCGACTAGAGTTTTTGCTTTACAGCAAAAACATCTGTTTAAGATATATTTTGGATAATACTTGACTCATTATAATTTTCAGGTTTCCGGTTAGAGTTACCTGAGACGATCGACTTAGTTTTAGAGACTGGAATTTGGTGAGTTCAAACTCGGTCATTATTTAATTAATTAATGATATAAGTTATTTTATTTGTCTTGGATCTTTAGTGATATTCGTTTTACTTTTAATAAAAAAGGGGTAAATCAGAAAAAGGCCCTAAGATGTCGCTACTAGCCGATAACAACTTTTGAGAAGTTTGGAACAACAGTTTGAGAGGCTCGGCCTGGTTTTTATGTTATTATTGACGGGGTTTCATTTTTAAATAAAACACTCTAACGGCGTAAAACGCGATATATTAGTTAAACTTATTGAAAATGATTTTTAACTTCTGCCTGACGCTTCGTCGGGTTAAAAGTTAAAAGTGTTTTATTTAAATGTGTACTACTCGCGTAAACTATAGACAGTGTTTAATTAACCGGTACGGGGTTTCATTTCAAAAAAGTTACATTATTATTAGTTATTGTTGCCATATATAAAAAATACAAGGTATAAATCCAAACTTTGAAATGTAAGCCTTAACCACGTCTTTCTTATTATATAATTTATTTCTTAATCTGCCTAAGTTTTAACTTACAAGACATCTTGATGATCGAGAGGTATTTTTTTTTGTTAAAAGTTACCATATAATATTTTCCTACTACAAATGTCTTAACATACAAATCTGGTTCAAGTTTATTAGAATTTTATATTACTCTATGAGTGGCAAAAAATATTGCCCCTTACAGGAGTCTTTAAGCAAAAATTCTTCAAGACTATATTGCTAGATCAGTTTTTGTATTCATTTGATAATACTTATTATAGGTATTCATTGTCTATTTATAGTCTGATGTTCAAAGGTCGTGTTTGTCATGCTTCTTAGAATATCTAAAGGTTTAAACACGTGAGAATTATAAAATGGCAGGCGTTTCGATATTAAAGTTGTGTGTTGTTTAAATTTTAAGTTAAACTAAAACAAAAGTTAGTTTCACTTAAAAACAACCACAGCACTTTTAATGTCTCTCTGTGGTATTCTTACTGCAAAACAGAGAAATTACTTTCCTAATCAACAAATACGTTTAAATGAAATTCAGGTATTTCATCTCTAAAAGGCATTTCAATTCAGAATTTGTTTTCAAACTGCAGCTTGAAATGATAGGTATACCTTCAACAATAAAAAGAACAATTCTATTTGAAACGAACAATACATTAAACCCATTTTGTAACAAAAGTGTCGCAAAAAACCTAGATTATGTCGCAACACGTGACGTCGGAGTGCATAAGTTATAACTTAACAAAAACTTCGACACTTGATCGGTGCTGAGTAAACACAACCCCCGTACTACGTTCGACATTTCGGTTGTGTCGCTTTCTTATCGCTGAGATTGTCGACAAGGCTTTTATACACGAGTTTTAAAAGAACAGCGATTCTTCATCATGTTCGGTTTTGAGAGTGAACCTTTTGAAAGTGGGGGGGGGGTTAGCAAGGTCACGAATTATTTAATCTTCCATTAGCTCAACTAATCAATTCTATCTGTACGAACGAAAAATCCATTTATATTCTCTATCTAATAAGAAAACTTAGCGCGAAGGTGCCAATTCAATTAACAGAATTCATAAATAAATGTCTTCCTTGTTCTTTATTGCGCGTTATTTATGTTTATTAATTGTCAATATCTGCTTCTAGTCTTTAGCTTGGTCTAGTCAATCGTGTTTAGTTGCAGATCACAAATCCAGGCTGGGTCATACATTTTGTCAGATTCTATTTCTATTGTGGCCCCAATTGCTATCACAATTTCGGTTGCTGGTAGTCAGCACACCAACCCGCACTGGTGCAGCTTGGTGGGTCTAAACTTAACTTCTCGTCTATGAGAGAGTAGAAGTGCAACAATTGGGATATTATTCGATTGGAACGATTAACACCTAGGTTTACTTTGTATTAAAGAAATTTATTCAAAGAATATACACACACTTAAGGTAATATATGACTTATGTGTTGTAAGGTTATATGAATTATTATTATTATAAGGTAAATTTCTTCATGTTCCAAATACATGGTGAAAAGTGCCTCTTCAATCCCCATATTAGGGCAAGCCTGTTTCTTGAGTGACTAGTCTCTTTCAACTTTTGTACAATTGAGGTCTTAAAATTAAACTTAGATTGGACATTATTCTGTATACATAAAATTAAAGCCTATTGTGATACGTGACAAAATGGGTATTAGCATGTTCCTGTATGTATATGATCATGAAGTGAGTGGAATGTAGATACATATGTCACAGGTATTCCCTGTTAATATGTTATCGGAATAATCAAATTTCAGCATTGCTTACGAAATTTACCTTTTTCATGATAGGGGAGGACATACAAGCACGGCTTTTTCATCTGTGGGCGGTGGATGACCAGGGCGGATTTTCCTATTTACTACCAACAATTTAACATCGAAGTCCTTTGATGAATAGCGAAACAAAATGCTACTATTACGCTAACGCTAAAAAATAAAGCAATCATTCCAACTGACTTCGAGTGCCCTGCTTTAATCCTGTGTAAATTGTGTTCAGGCGGCACAGGACTAAGTAGAATACACCGAAAAGTCTATAAATTACAATTTAGATGATTGATTAGAGCCGATTTAAAAATCATAATCATGTTACTCCGTGTATAGTAACCCTTAGTTTATCGCAAGCAAAAATTAATAACTTTTCTGAATACAAGCGGGGCGACTCAAGCGCAACGTCGTCAAAGTTTATCGCCGTACACCGCATTCTTCGTTTGACCGGCGACTAGAGCGGACGTATTTGAGTCTAATGCACGAAATTAGTGTTATAAAAAATAACGTGCTAGTGTTTGTTTTGTGATACTATTGGACACACTATCTGCTTACGATAAAGAGGTGAGTTGCTGATAGCTTTTGATAATTAGTTCGGCTACTTAACTGATTCGGTATTTAGCTTGGTCAGAAACATCCGTTTCTTTTGTTGGATCGATAACATTTTGGTAATTGCAGTATTGTCTATACTTTTCTAGTGTAGTATTATAATTTTAACGGTTTAAAACGCGAAATATGTAAACGTATTTTTTACTGCGAAATAAAAAAGTCATTTAATCTTTACAATATAAATCTCATTAAATGTGGAAAATATTAGAAAATATAACATGTACTGTGTATAATTGATAAGACAAGAGACTATTATAAGAAAGAGATTACAATTAAATATCTCTAGTCTATAATTATTATATTTAGATTATTTCAAAGTTCCTAGCTAGCTAATAGTAGCACTGTTTAGCTGAAAATCTGGTTGTGGCTGCTATGCCTACCGGGATATTTAATTGGTACTAAAGATGACTAGTAGACTTTCAGTGTTAACTATTTGCTTGGGAAAGATGTGGAGAACCATAAACACGATACAGTCATCGGGTGCAAATAATATCTTATATAGATAGTAGAACGTGTTAGTTTTGTTTTATAATCCTGGCTCTATCAATAATCGTGTGGCACTCGTTATTTCTAAATCACCATATTGCTGTCTGTATATCTTGCATATTTGATGTAACGTTATAATAATAATGCCAATATCCAAATGTTGTGATGGCAATTTACTGGGGTATATCACAATCTATCAAATTAACCCTATGCTTGATTGTTCTCCTTTCCTTTTAAAAAACTACTGTAGTACAAAGTGTTACTATAACGTAAATGTCACTTGGGCGAGAATTGCTTTCCAGTGTGTGTGAAATGTCTCTACCAAATGTATGGCATGCTATACGAGTAGATACATTATTGTGTCCGTTTTAATATACGCGCAAGTAATAGATCAGATTTCTTGCCCCAATTGCGCGTAAAGCGTTGTTGCTCATTAATGCGTATTTATAATTTGTCATGTCGAAATACAATGTGTGTAAAAAACCCATTGCCCCCATGGGCATGGGGGCACTGGCTAAGCAAGTCCGTTTACTGCATGATTTTTTTAACAGTCGATCAGATTTCCACGTCATTAGGCAATTTATGGTTTCTTCAGGATTCAAACCTAGAACCTCTCGTGCTTAGCGCAGACAACGCTAGTAAGCACCGATTTGAAACGTCTTAGGTAACACGTAACAACTGCGCATTTGTCGTTATCTTGTAACGAATAGATTACGTGTTATTAATTGGGCTAAGGACCACTTTCCAAATGACATATGAGAAAGACCCTATAATAACTAACGATTTTGCTCCTCATAATAAAAAAGCATCATACCTTTTCTTCTTGCAAGTTAATGTTAAAAGATTGACATATAGCGACAATAGTACGTCCTGAGATTAACACGTCCAAACAAATAAACTTGTGATGGTCGAGTTCATAAAAAATTAGCGATTAACAATATCAAGTGTAAATAACGTGTAAAAATAATAAAGCTGCAAAAATAATAGTTATTTATTGATTTCTTTTATAAAAACTAGGTAATTTGCATTATCATAGCCAATAATTTATTAAAATGTCTGCTTGTAATCTTTATTGACAGCTTTTAACTTAATGAAGAGAAAGAACTATTTAACATTTATAAAAATACAATAATGTTTTGTTTCCACTTTTAATGGATGTACCGTGTGGGAACTAAATGCAAGAGGAGTACCAGTTTCAGGTCAACAAAAGGCCTGATATAAACTGAGGAAGATCCTATTCTACTAGCAGCACACAACATTATCCTATCTTGTTATATTAAGTTATACTGTTAAGACAAAATTATGTTTTGTTTTTTTTTATGTTTAGTAATAAGTGTAACATGTGTTTTTATGTGCCCTAGTAGTAAATAAAAATTTTCTTTCTTTCTTTCTTTCTTTCTAGACAAGATGCTAGCATCAAGTGAGCCATAAAAAAAATACATTAGTAAAAAATAAATAAAATAATTAATAGTAAAATCTACAGACTAAAGCCGAAACACTATTACACTCGATGACTCTGACATTTGTGGACGGAATTTCGATGTAGGCATGGACGATGGTGAGGTTGGTCGTCCAAACCATCCATTTAATATCCAGGTGTTCAGGAACTCCAACATATTTCAGAAAAAATAGAAATC